GATCTTAGACATCCTGACCTTTCTATAGTTCATCCTCTTTCTTCTTCAAATTAGATTTGGCTATCAACCTCATCAAGGAAAGTAATCAGGATCATAGGTCGTACCTAGTTATGAACTCAACTAGGCCCACTAGCTTAGGATTCCAGGCAGCATTATTTACAAAAGCTGGATGAAGAATCCTGGCAAAGCTACAAGAGCATCATTTTTTTTTTTTTTAAAGCACTTGAAATAAAATTTAGGTTTCTGATTTAATAGACTATACCAGCTCTTAAATTCCTTGATTACCAATAGGACCTGCTGAAAAAGTGTTCAACCAACTTCATTTAATAAGTAAAATCATTTCCTTCCTTTCTTTCTAGTGAAAGCCTTCTTTATATAATAACCTCAGGGTGAAGCAATGGCTGACTCAGGCAGTTTTTGTTTTTTTAAAGGAGGGTCAGGGTGGGATGGTCTAAGATTGCTAATTACTGGAAGCCAATTTTGTAGTTATCTGCCACCACCACACGAAATAAGAAGAAAAATAAAATCAACGAAATCTGCCATTAAAGAGTAGATTCTGTAATTTCATATGTTGTTGTTGTTAAGTACCGTCAAGTCGGTTCTAAACTATAGTGATCCTACATAGGGTTTCCGAGGAGCAGCTGGTGAGCTTGAACCACCGACCTTGTGGTTCAAACCAACTTTGTAGTCCAGCGCATTAACCCACAGGTACTACAAAATTAGAAAATGACATTTTGTACTTTTCTGAGGTTTCCTATTTTTAAAAACACTATGAGAAATTGCTAAAAAAAACATGAAAAAGATATACCTCTTAGACACACTAGCTAGGAAGTTAATGGCATGATTTCCCTACAATCTGCTATTTACTCTAATTAACAACACAACTAATACTAATAAGTTATTAAGCACCCACAATGTGTTGGATTGTATTCACAGTTCTTTCCCTAAAAATGTCCATATATGATTATTTTTGTAGTTTAAAAAATAATAAATACATAATTTGTTCTGTACTGATGGGTGTTTTTTTTTTCCTGGAGTTTGCATTTTCCAATATGATTATTATTTAAAATAGGTAGTCATGAGAAGATTCTGAAGGAGAATGTTTTTATCACTAGCCTCTCTTGTTGTTGTTATGTGCCATGGAGTCGATTCCCACTCACAGTGACACTGCACAGGGTTTCCAAGGCTCCAAATCTTTACGGGAGCAGAAAGCCTCATCTTTCTCCCATGGAACAGCTGACAGTTTTGAACTGCCGACCTTGAGGTTAGCAGCCCGATTCGTAACCACTACACTATATAAGGAGCTCTGGTAGCGTAATGGTTACGAATCGGCCTGCGAACCTTAAGGTCAGCAGTTCGAAACTGCCAACCGCTTTGCGGGAGAAAGAAAAGGCTTTCTACTCCCGTCAAGATTTATAGCCTTAGAAACCCTGTACAGGGTCGCTATGGGTCAGAATCGACTCGAAGGCACTTAACAACAACAGCCTCTCTTAGGTACCAATAATCTAGTCCAAGGAAGGGACAGAGCTGGTTAACACAATCAACAGAACACCACACTGTTTATTAAGCAGAGTCAGGTGCTTATTCAATTAGAGCCTTAGGGTTTAGAGCCAAACATTGAATTCCTTGATTGAATGTATGAACTCAGATATATCAATTAACCTCTCTGACCTCCATTTCCTCACCTGTATCAAAATGGCAATCATGACAGTATCTGGCTTGGATAGCCAACCACAAAATTGCCTTGAGGAGCAAGTACGATCATGTCATCAAAATGTTTAAGTGGTAACCTGCTATTGAAATGGAGTGTTGCTGTCAAATTTCTACTCATTTGATGAGAATGGAAAAGTGACAAAGCAAAAAAACCCCAACCTCACAGCCATCAAGTCGATTCCGGCTCATAACAACCCAATGTAGGGTTTCCAAGACTCTAAGTCTTTACAGGACCAGAGAGTCTCATCTTTTACCCCACAGAGTCACTAGAGGATTGAACAGCCAACTCTGTGATTAGCAGTTCAGTGCTTATCCTACAGAGCCACCAGGGATCCTTGGGTGAATGACAAGGGGGTTTAAATCAACAACGATTTTTACTTTACTCTGTTAAAAAACAACAACAACAACATTATTTTTCTATGTTGCCAGCAACCTAAGCTATGCATGAAGCCAGTTTTCAACACCATCCTGTTTAACATCCACTCTAATACGGGTCTAGCCGGGGAACTTACATGGGACTCTGCCTATGCCCATGGAGTTTGTCACGAGTTAGCCTAGATGCTAAGTCTATCAACGTTTCTATGCCAGAAGTTAGGTGAAGGTGATACAGGAAGAACACTGAGTAGGAAGACCCCAATATGACAGCCAGGAGTCTTTACAGGAAATGTCCCTACCTCCTTTCCCAAGCATTATGTGAGTTGTTGTTAAGTGCTGTCAAATCAGTTCACACTCATAGCAACCCTGTATAGGGTTTCTGAGGCTATAAATTTTTGCAGGAGCAGAAAGCCTCATGTTTCTCCTCCCATGGAGTGGTTAGTGGGCTCAAATAGCAGACCTTGTGGTTCGGAGTTCAGTGCTTAACCTACAGAGCCCATTAAGTGAGAGCAGACTCCAAATTCTAACTCCAAATGCCTATCCAGATCAAAGGACCTGTCATCGATCAATCAACTATTTGAGCTCAGGATTTCCTGGAATGTGGTAGAATTTCTGTTAGCCAAAACTGAGACAAGAATATTTCTTCCACAAGAAGGTGAAGGACCACACCACAAGCTAATGTTTTATATTCCTCTCCTTAAATACCCCCTACACCTTATCTGATAGCTGAATTTCACCACACTTGACTTCATGTTTAACAGCTATTTTCTCTTGCTCATAAGAGGAAATTTTGTAAAAATCTATTGTAAAGGTAAATGGAATGCAATACAGTTTTCTTCACTTTAAATTTTAAAATGTGTATTTCTATTATAATTTTCTACTACATTTACATTTGCCATCTATCTAGGCAATCATAAGCAGATTGCAGAGGGTCTTTTTACTTTTTATGTTTTCTCCCCCCTTCTTTTACGGGTCTCAAAAAGAAAAGAAACCCAGAAACCTAACAATTCAATATATGTAAGGTCACAAAGAACTTCAAAGACTATGGTAGAAACACACATATGAGGGGACTTCAAAAAGTTTGTGGAACAGTAGAATAAAAAGATAACGGGATTTTTTTCCATGAACTTTTTGAAGCTCCTTCATATTTGTGAACTGAAAAGAGGAACATTTGATAATATTGGACTCCTAATAGCATTGCTCATACTTCCCCCTCAAGGAAATGGCGCTAATGTATAAATTCAGGTATGTGTTAGAGGGGAGTGTCTTTAGTAGAGAGGAGCTCTAATAAGAATACCTTACACTGATACTACATTTACATGTTATTGTTAGTTGTCATCGAGCTGGTCTCTAACTCATGACGATCACATGTACAATAGGATCAGGTCATTGTGATTCACAGAATTTTCATTGGCTGACTTCTATAGAAGTAGATTGCTAGGCTGTTCTTCCTAAATTTGGTCTGGAAACTCCATAGAAATCTGCTCAGCATCATTGCAACACACAAGGTCCCACTGACTGATGGGTCATAGTGACGGCTTAAGTGCTGGTTGGAAATCAAAGCTGGGTCTCACACATGGAAAGCAAGAATTCTACCACCGAACCACATTTCGGCATTGCTTTATAGCATAGAAGGCCTATCTTATCCTTTTCTTTATTTGATTTTTATGATACTGTGATCTTTTTGAAGAGCCCTGGTGGTACTGTGAGTTAAGCACGGAGCTGCTAACTGACAGGTCAAAAGTTCAAACCCATAAGCTACTCCAATGGAGTAAGCTGAGGCAGTCTGCTTTGTAAAAATCACAATGAAGTCCTGGGTGTGGCACTGTAGGATAGGCACTGGCGATTCAAACCTACCAGCCACTCCTCAGAAGTTCTGTACAAGGTCACTATGAGTCAGAACCAACTAACTCAACAGGACTTAACAACAATAGCACAGGGTTTCTATGGGTCAGAAATGACTCAACGGTAGTGAGTTTAATTTGGTGTTATCTCTTTGACCCAAGCCTTCCATTCTTTGCTACCAATTGTCGAGGTAAGTTAAACAGAACATCAGATGACATAGTCCAGGGGTTGGCAGCATTGTAGTACTCCAAGTCCATCTGATTCTAAGTCCTTCTACTTTCTCTATAGAGGAAGGTGTATACCATATACTAGGTAAAAAGGAGAACATGTATGATTTTCAATTAAATAGACTCTGGGTAAAGTAAAGGACTTTAAGTTCAAGTCTTGCTATCGTTTCCCATGGATTCCTGGAAAATCAGGAACCCTCCTAAACAAGAAACAGGTAAGAAGCAGAGGAAACCTCTTTCCTCTCTGCAGGTGAGGTGGTGACTCTGTTAATAACTGGTCACTTTGCCATGCCATGGGTATATGTTCCAGGAGTTCAAGGTACTATTGGAGTGGTGGTGGCTATAGTGTGCTGTGGAGTCGGTTCCGACTCATAGTGACCCTATACAGGGTTTTTGAGGCTATAAATTTTTACGGGAGCAGAACACCTCATCGTTCTCCCACAGAATAGCTGGTAGTTTTGAACTGTTGACCTTGCGGTTCAAAGCCCAATTCGTAACCACTACACTACCAGTGTACTCCTTATATTAGTAATTAATGTTCCTTGAAATCTTCATTTACAACTCCACAAAAAATTTTCAATGCTATCATCAACAGTTGGGGTTGATGGGATGGCAACTGATTGGCTGGCTGGTATTACAAATTTGCCCAGGTTTTAATAGTTGAGACCAGAGACTACCTGAACTCAGATTCTAAGAGTGGTTCTATGATTAGCAGGACGTGTTGGGCACGAAAATACTAATGTCCAGGGCAAGGTTGGCTCCCCTCAATCTCTGTGCAAGTTCCCAAGTATCCCATTTCGTCCACCCTAACCTAATGGAGCCATGTGCATTCTGGGTTACCTGCTCATACTTCTCCAGCTCTGTGTGGTAGATTTGTCTGATCTGTGAGAGTTTGGCTCTGTAGTCAGAATGCTCCACTGAGTTGTCTGAACCTGCCCCACCAGAGGCTGCTGCCGCTGCTGCCGCTGCCGCTGACCCGCCACCCTTCTCGGGACCTGCGACCCCTTCAGCTAACAGCATGTTGTCCAGTCGCATCAGCTGCGGGTCTGTTGGCTCCTCTTCCTGGGCTCCCCGGATACTCAAAACTGTAGAAAAGACAAAGAGAAAACGGTGTGTTCATATTCAACCAAGGAACAGTAACAACAAATTTCTAATAACAACAAAAATTGTAATATTTGGCTAAACAACCTCCAAATTACTTATAACTGGAAGGATTGAAAGGGTGAGTAAATTGGAAGAATTTCATTTCCCTTCCAGAATTAATTTTAATAGAATATAATTTTACCTCCATCCCCAAAGAGCCAAATCTTCATTAAAGAAAAAGTCTTATTACTCTGGGCTCACGGAAAGCACGAGACTGGGTGCTGGTGGCCAGGAGGCAAGCTTGCAGAATGTTCCCTTTAGTTGTTTAAATTATTTTATATTCCTGAGTGTTTTTGTGTACATATCTCTCCCCAACAAAAACAAAGGGAATGGAAGCAAATACTGTTGAATGATGATGGACGGAGGGTATTGTAATCATTGCAATGAAACAAGGGTGTAAAGTAAATGTTCTCCCATGTAAACTATCATTCAATTCACAATAAAAACTTAAAGAAGTAAATAAAAAATAAAATAAAATTACGCATTTGGCATTACAATAAAGTTTTAAAAAAGAAAAAAGCTTTATTGTCTTTGTAAATTCTGCTTCCATAAAGACTGTTGTTAAGTATCATGGAGTCGGTTCTAACTCACAGTGACCCTGCACAGGGTTTCTGAGGCTGCAAATCTTTACGGTTGCAGAAAGCCTCATCTTTCTCCAGTGGAACAGCTGGTAGTTTCGAACTGCCGACCTTGAGGTTGGCAGCTGGATTCATAACCACTACGCTACCAGAGCTCCTTTCCTACAGCCTTGGAAACCCTATAGAGCTTTCATTTTTAAATTTCTGTGAGATTCTGGCTTAGACACTTCCTGAATTTCTTTGCAATGCTTCATCAGGCTAAACTTTCATTTCCAAAATAATCTAAGCCTAGCAGATCTAATTAATCTGGTATCAAATCTTAAACCCTTTCTCCTGAACTAGGAGAGAGTTTAGAGACAGCTGATACAGCAAGCAGCCAAACTGGCCTTCAAGTAAAGACTCCAAACATGGCTGTGGGTGTTCTAGGACTCTGTCCTGTTGGAAATGAGAAACATCCCCTTTCACAGGAAGTCCATTATAGGTTCAAAGATGTCATCACTCTGGGGGGAGGAGAGGAGGGGAACGCAGGATAGGGGGAGGCTCAGATCCATGAAATGCCACTTTTTATGCAAACACCATGGATATCTATGGGGGAGGGAATTTGGACTGAAAAGGATCAAGTTAGCACATCAGAAAGGCTAGGTGGCCCCTTTACTACCAGTATGCAACCTGCCACATGCACATGAACACAAAAATCATTCATCTAAATCCAGTTTCACTGTTAGCATTCAAGTCTTTGTTGGAAAGAAACATGAAAAGAATTCTCCATTTAAAAAGATACAGAAAATGTTCTGTGGGGAGGGCAAGGAAGGAGAAAGAAGGAAGGGATTCCAGACAGAGGGGAAGCCAGCCTGTGTTCACATCTGGGGAAGGGTTGGCAGGTCTAAGTGATCGAGTGGATCCACACACTGGAGCAGTTGGAGAGACAAGAGCTGTTTCTGGGGAGAGTGTATCTGGTGACCCTCAGGGTTTCCAATCCTAGTTGTCTCCTAACCCCACAGGGCAGCCCCGCCAGGTGTGACAGGGAAAGTGGCTATCAGCCCAATATGAGGGGACAGTCATTGCACATAAAACCAGTATAACTGCTGGCTGTGCTCACCTGCTCTTGCTTCTAACAGGCATGACAAGAAGCAACCTTGAAAGTTGTTCAAGAGGAAACCGCAATTCCTGTTATTAAAGGAAAACGGTGGCATTGCTTTCATGAAACCCAAGAGCATCCTTCAGTGTGCCCAGTCACGCACACATGCATGCATGCGTACATGTGGGCTAAAATAAGAGGCACATGGGAGGAAGACTAGCAAGCTCCTCGATGAAGCAGGAAAGAATGGGATGGCCGGTAGGGAGGAAGAAAGGAAGGCAGTTAGCTGGGAGGAAGCCCACAGTAACACATAAACCATGAAGGTCAGAGCCCAGGCTCTTCTTGTTTCACACCCGAGTTTTTAATATTCATCTTCAGTAAAGTAAATTTTAGTGGTAATGGTGCAGGGTTAAAGGATCATTGGGATTTATTTTGTGGCTGCCTTTTCTAGTACCGTCCCCTCCTTCAATGAAATCTGTCTTTTGTAGGATTAAGAGACTGGGAATTAACTGTCTCTTAGGATTTGAATAATGAAGATTTGGACACTTAATTCTGCTCCTTGAATTTATTTACTCAAACCTCCAAAGTGCTTGGAAGAAACTATTACCACTACACGAAAGGTTTCCTTAAGAAAACCATTGGTTGCTATTGGCACAATGGTTAAGTGCTTGACTGTTAACTGAAAGGTTTGAGGTTCAAACCAGTTCAAAACCAGCCAGCAGCTTTATTTAAAGGCCTGAAAATCTGCTCCTTTAAAGATCACAGCCAAGAAAACCTGAAGGAGCAGTTCTTCTCTATCACATGGAGTCACTTTGACTTGAAATCAACTTGACAGCAACTAATAACAACAGATCTGAATTACTGAATTGTTGTTGTTGTTAAGTGGGTTCCGACTGATAGCAATTCTGTATAGGGCTTCTGAGAAATTGCTGGTGGGTTTGAACTGCTGACCTTGTGGTTTGTAATTCAGTTCTGATCCTGCAGCACCGCACCAGGAGAGTCGGTATCTGAACCAAAAAGAATCTGACCCTTCCAAGTGCTGTATCAGGGGCCAGCAGCTACCCCTTTCTTATCTCTACAGTGGGATGACTTCAAGACAAGGGCATTTGCTTGTGGAGCTCATTCTCTTTATTTTGTAACCAGCCAGCTGCAGGACAATGAACTGGACCCTAAGGTCGGTTTGACTCTTATGCTGTCATGTCAGTTAAGACTTATGTTGTTGTTGTTGTTGTTAAGTGCTGTTGAGTCGGTTATGACCCACAGCGACCCTGAACAGGGTTTCCGAGGCTGTAAATCTTTACGGGAGCAGAAAGCCTCATCTTTCTCCCACGGAGCAGGTGGTAGTTTCAAACTGCTGACACTGTGGTTCACAGCTCGATTCGTAACCACTACGCTACCAGAGCTCCTTAGTGATTTCCAAGGAGTGTCTGGTGAGCTTGAGCCGCTGACCTTGTAGGCCAGCGTATTATCCGCAGTGTCACACCAACAACAGTAGCAAAGAACAGCAGTACAGAAGAGCAACAGTAGCGACGAAGAAGAACAAAAACCAACATCCACATAAGGGTCAGGATTTGCCTGGCCTTTTACTGGAGGTCGTAACAGCACAGCTTGTCTGAGTGGAGGCCCAGCACCCCAAGCCTACTCCCATCCCTCTGAAGCCTAAAACTGCCTCCTCACTGGGCTTGCTGATTCCTCTGGCCATCTCAGTTTGTTTTGAGAAAAGTGAGAAAGGTAGACAGACAGACATTCGCGAACCTAAGCTCTGGTCCTAGTTCCTTCAGGTAATAGGTAGGCATGGGACCATGGTACTCTATCTAATACCTGCCTCTGAGAATGTTTTCCCTTCCTGCCCTTCTCTGTTTTAACCACATTCATGTTCTACTTAAATAAATATTTTTAGACCATCAGTGTGAAGCACAAACTATCCATACACACAACCAATATATTTCTTGGTTCTGAAATCTAACTAGCTTTAAACCAAATAATGAGTAAAATTGCGAAGGCTGCCATATACAGGACATCAGTGGAATCTTCTGTAGGACTGAGGTGCTGAAAAAATGATTTACAGGTATGCCCTAGTCTTAACTGGTCTTTTCTTTTTCCCCAGGTATTTGGGGAAATAACTCGCTTAAGATATTAACATTTTGCTTAGTTTTAGGTGAAATATAAAGAAATGGGGATTTGTTAGGATTTCATATAAGGGACACTGCTAGTTCAATGGTGGAATTCTCATTTCCCATCTGGGAATCCAGGTTTGAAGCCATCGCACCTTGGCCACCACTCGTCTGTCTATGCATGTCCACAAGGTTGGTCTGGACTACAAGGCTGGTGGTTCAAACTTACCAGCTGCTCTTCAGAAACCCTATACATGGTCGCTTTGAATTGGAACCAACTCAACGGCACTTAACAATAGCAACGATGATGCTTAACAGTTCCTTATCGACACTTGAAAACTGAGGTGGGCTAGGAAGAATGCTCTGGAAATCTACTTTCAAAACTCAGATACTGAAAGCACTATATATCACAAGGGTTTAGGACTGGGCAGTGTTTCTTTTCCACTGTGTATGGGGTCACCATGAGTTATGGGTCAATTCCACAGCAACTAGCAAGAAGACGCCACATAAATGACTGGTTTCTAAATGCGCCCAATCAGTAATCTGTATGGTGCTGTGAGTTAATGCACCAGACTGCAAAACCGTTTGAACCGCAAGGTCGGCAGTTCAAGCTCACCAGCTGCTCCTCGGAAACCCTATACAGGGTTGCTATGGGTCAGAACCGACTCAATGGCACTTACCAACAACAACATGATAGAAACAAGGAGCCCTGGTGGCGTAGTGTTGGTGCACTGGACTGCTAACCACAAGTTCAACAGTTCAAATCCACCAGTCACTCCTTGGGAGAAAGATGAGGCTTTCGCTTCCCATAAAGATTTACAGCCTCAGAACCCCCATACAGGGTCACTATGAGTCAGAACCAACTCGACACCACACATCACCACCACCATGATAGAAATGCAATGTGCCCTAACAGAAACGTTGCTTGTGTTTACATCTATAAATATGCCCAAATGGAAGATTTGAAGAAAATCATTAAAAGACTCAGAACAAAAAACAAGAAGAAAAACAACAGTCCTCTTCAAATTATACTGTTTAAATTATAGTCAAGTCATTATAAAAATAGGAAATAAGTCAGAGCGTGTGAGGGCATAAAAAGGAAAAGGAGAAAAAGGAGCCTAGGTACACGAGGGAAAACTTTAAAAACAAAACCCTCACCTTTCATTATTTTA